AGGAAGCATGGCGGGAAGACGTCAGGCGGCTGTCGTGCGGTTGGCAGTGCCCGTCTGTGGGGGCGCCTTTCGGGGCGCTTCTACAAGGGCCTCCCTTTACCGCGGCCTCGGGCACCGGCTTACCCCCGGGTGCCGCCAGGCTCTCCTCTCCTCAGGCCGTGTGGAGCCTGCACAGCCACTGGCCTCAGTCTGCCCTGCCAAAAGCCAAGTTGAGCTGGCAGTGCCCAGCTCGTGTCCTGTCTGTGCTGCTTTAGCTTGAAAATAGCACTGAGGTGATAAATCCTGAGGAGATGTAGGCCAGTAGGTGCCTCTGGATTTGGTAGCATGGCTGTAGGAGGCCTCCTGCAGTGCAGTAAAACCCCAGAGCATATGGCTGTAGCACAGTTACAGCACTGGGGTATCTTACACTCCATGTAAAGCAGTTAATTTCAAAGCAAAGAGGTATGTGGGTTCAATTATTTTCTAAAAGTGTGGGTTGTATTTTAAAAAAAAAAGCTTGGATATGGTTACTTTACTTTGGTCATACTAGTGCTACCATACTGGAGGAAAAGCTTTCATGTGTACCATTGTAAGAGACTCAACATTTTACATGGTGAGCAAAGCAAGGAAACAGAGCTTTTCCTTTATTCCTAAGCATTCCTGGTTCATTTGTCTAGAATTTTTCTATTTCATGTATTTACCCCTTTGTTCTGTCTTCACAGTCTAGTTAAAATTCTTATATGCAACCCTGGGAAACTACCAGATACTGAGTCTGACTCCTACTAATTGAGTCAGTTGTGTGAGAAAGAGTTAATTGAACAGTGATTGCATAATGAAGTAACTTGCATCAAACTATTGACTGTTTATCTTCTTGTTGGAAAATTCAATAAATGAAGTGTGGTGATATTAAGGTTATTTGTCAGTGTAGCAATCTAGTATCAAGCAGAGTGTTTTAAAGTGGCTTGTTTCCTAAGTATAAATTCTGGCTTACGTGTTTTTGTGCAGTCTACTCATGGAGGTTCAGGTTGAGCAATGTGTTCATGGTCCAATCGGCATGCTTGTATTTTTCATGGGTATGTGTTTGGGCTTATGCTAAAGCAAGGTCAACAGTTCTCACTTCCCATATTCTGAAGCTCATCCAAAGGTTCTTCCAGAAACCAGATTGTGGTCCACATACAAGCTCAGCAGAACATTGCGTTGTGATGTATACTTTGAGGTTTCATTGCTTATTATGTGAGCAATATTTATTCTTCTTTACTTGCAGAAATCAGAACAAGGTTGATGCCTGGTCCCCTTGATGAAAAGGGTAAGACATTTTAATGGATTTTTTTTCACTTTGTGTGTTTCTAGGGATAAAAGGGGTTAATAACTTTTTTGTGACTTCTGTGTTTTATAGATGTTAATTTCAAATTTCTTGGTTTTAACCTTAACATTACTATTTCTTGTATGAAAATGGTTTGATGTGGTTAGAGCTTTTTTCTCAAAGCCTGAAAGAAAAAAAAATCCAACTTTTTGCTCACCAGAAGATGGTGCTGTGCAGCGTGGTTTGAAAAAATCTGTATCAGAACAGCTATCTGATTATAATTACTTCCATGTCTTGGGAGTTTGTTGTTAGAAGTGCATTTCAGCAATGCTTTCTTTTGTTTAGCAGCTGATTAATACAGGCAGTATTTCTAATACCTTTACAGTAGAGCTAGTGGTCAGTTCCAAAGTCTATTTTTGGAACTGGAATTCCTGCCTGTGCTCCCAGGAGTTTAAAGCTCTAAGCAATTTAGAGCCATGGAGTGGCTGAGGCTGGGAGATGCCTCTGGAGATGATCTAGACCAATCCACCCGCTCAAATCAGGGTCAGCTAAAGCAGGTTGCTCAGGGTCATGTCTTACTGGGCTTTTGAATATCCTGTTCCAGTGTTTGACTCTTACAGGAGGAAAGATATTTTGTTAATGGCTGAACACTTTCCTGTATTTCAACTTGTGCCCATTGTTTCATGTTGTGTCACTGAACGCCACTGAAAAGTCTGGCTATGTCATCTTTTCTCACCTCATCAGGTGTTTATACACATTGATAACATCCCCCTGAGCTTTCTCTTCTCTAGGCTAAACAGTTCCAGCTTTCAACCTTTCCCTGTGTAACAGATGTTCCTGCCTCTTAATCGTGTTGCCAGCTTTTCATTGGACTTGCTTCAGTATGGCCGTGACTCTCTTGTAGTGGAAAGTGTGGAACTGGACACAGCCCTTCAGCACTGGTGCTCCCAAATCTGAGAAGAGGGGAAGTAGCACCTCACTTGAACTGCTTATGAAGCTTTTTCTTACACAGCCCAGGATACTGTTGGCTTTCTTTGCCACAAGGGCATGTTGCTTCCTGTATATTTATCGCTTATACGGCCAATTTGTCATTTTCCTGTAGCATACATCATCTAGGAAGTCTCAATGTGTAATCTGTTCACACAGCCACCAGGATAACAGACTCCAAATACCCACTTTAAAGAGCCACAGAGTAAGTTTGGTGTAAGAACTTGAAACAGTTTGATGAAATTTCAGGCTATGTTTGAAAAAAAAGTAAAAGTGAATGTCTGAATTAGCTCCTAAAGTTAGGCACATAAACGAGTAGTTTGATTTTTCTGAAAAGATTTCAGTGAGCTATTTAACATGCCACTTGTATGTATTAGAAATCAAACTATGAAGGTCCAAATCTGTTTGTCACATACTCGGGAAGATACTTAACTTGACTATCTGGAGGAGCTGTGGTAAAGTTAAATAATAAAGACAAGTAAATGTTTGCAAGTGTGGAACCCTATTTCACTCCTGCTTCTGCACAGGCTGTGGTGTGGGGCTGCCCTGAGTTAGTGGGTCTCTATATGGAAGGAGAACTCACTGGGGAAAAAAGTTAGGGTCAAGGTTCCTAAAAGTCTTGTGAGGCACCTGCATTTGTTGGGAGTGCACCTTATTGTGCCTGAGGCCAGCTAGAAATATTCAGGTGTTCACTTTGGAATCTTCACAAGCAAATCCTCATTCTCATT